CAGGGTCAGCAGAGGTGGCACAGTCCTTGGCTGTAGCTTAATGCAGCGCACTGTTGCTCTGCTCCTCAAAGGTCATTTTGCCCAGCAGCTGGCTCTCCAGCTCCACATTGCTCACGGGCAGCTGGAAAAAGTTCATTTCAGCTGCCAAAGCGGCCATGGCAGAGGGGTCCTGGCCAAACTGTGCCCGGAGCATCATGTCCATTTTCTCCAGGCGCCGCTTGAGCCTCTTGGCCTCGCGCTCCCGGATGAGCCGGGCCTGTCGTTTCTCTGGGGTCTCGTTTGCGCGTTTCAGTCGCATGGCTTCCCGGTCCCTCTGCAGCCGCCGCGCCCGCTGCTCATCTGTCTCTTGCATGCGCTGCAGGCGCTTAGCTTCTCGATCCCGCATACGCCTCACTTCCCGTTCTTCAGGTGTCTCATTGTCCCGCCGGCTCTTCTTGGCCGTGCGCTCCCGCTCCAGGCGCTGCAGCCGCACTTCCAAGGGCTCATTCTGCCGACGAAGTGCCCACTTTCGCATGCCGGGTGTCTGTGCCTCCAGCAGCTTGCGATAAGCCGCACAGTTGTTGCACACTAGGAGGATGCCTGCAGGATACACAGGGGTGTGAAAGGCAATGTCTTTCCCCTCAATACTGGAGGGGCCCTCGCTCTGCGGTGCTGGCAGGCGATCTGCACTGAGCACCTCTGGCAGCTTCTCACTGGAAAGCAGAAAGAGCAGAGAGTCAGAGGCTTGGTGCTGACGAAGAGTCCCCATCTCAGACTGCCCAGGGGGCTGCAATGAACAGTGCCCCTACTACAGCCCATGACAGAGGCCTCTGCCAAACCATTCCTGCCCACAGACATGTCTGACTATCTAAAACAAAGCAACATCATATCCGGGGGTAGGAAGTGGGTTAGCCCAGAGCAGGGGGCTGGAAGCGTGCAAGAGCAGGAATTAGCCAGCAAGCTGCTCCTCCCCATCATCTCTGGATTCCTCCTCTCAGCCCTGTTCCACTAGTCAGTGGATCATCTTCCACCGGGCAGAACACAAACACGGAACATTTTGGTTTCTGCCTGTAGTCCTGCTCTGGAAATGATGAACCCGTCTGGGCAGTACAGACCTACTCTGATGGACTGCTGGGCAGTTGATTGTGCTCCAGTGACTGGAGACCCCAGTGCTCTCTGCACAGCTCTAATTCTTCACAGAGCTAAGGAACACCCTTTTAGCAGCACAGCCCGTGGAGGTCTTAGCAGGTGATGTGGAGCTGCAGGCAGGAAGGGATCGAGGGAATCTCACTCGCTGGGGGTGTTCACAACGCTGCTACAGGCCTTAGCGGGTCCGGAGCCATGACTTCTGTGTCATTTAAGGCAACCCACCTAATCTTTAATGTGGGTACCCTAGCCCACTCACCAGCCAGGGTGACCCTGACCTGTTGAATGTGGCATGGCTGGTGAAGCGTGCTCCACACACTGCACAGTTTGACAGCTGGTCCTCTGAGTGGATCAGGAGATGTCGCCCAAGGGATCCTGGTGAGCTGAGGGCTCTGCCACATACAGGACACATGTAGCTCTTGGCGCTCACCACAGCTGCAGTGTGCTGCAAAACAACCACTAGGTTGTTAGTTACAAATTGCCCACCTCCCTGCCCAGTCTGAGGCATGCTCAACAGATATGGCAAACCATTCAGTTCAGCCTCCTGGAACGGGAACACTTTACCTCTAAACCTCTCTCTGACAGCTCCTAGACTAAGCTCAAGACATCTGGGGTGTCATAGCTCAAACAGCAAGGAGGAAATCTTTCTACTGCTCCACTCCAGTGCAAGAGAAACAGTTAAGGCCAAAACACTTGGACTGTAAGGCCTGACCCTTGTTTTCAGAAATGCACCTGAGGAGCTGCTGTTGCTGGACATGGCTGGACTAACAGTAGGCAGGATGCTGGTGAGGAAGTGCTTAAATCATAGAATCATAGAATGTTTTGGGTTGGAAGGGACCCCTAGAGGTCATCTAGTCCAACCCCCCTGCAGTGAGCAGGGACACCTTGAACCAGATCAGGTTGCTCACAGCCCCGTCCAACCTGGCCTTGAATGCTTCCAGGGATGGGGCCTCCACCACCTCTCTGGGCAACCTGTTCCAGTGTTCCACCACCCTCATTGTAAAGAATTTCTTCCTTATATCTAGTCTAAACCTACCCTGGTTTAGTTTAAAACCATTACCCCTTGTCCTGTCAGCTGGTGGAGGTAAGTGGCCAATTCAGTACAGCTTCATTCTTTCTTTTACAGACTTTGATGTGCTGTGAAGAGAGTACTGACAACAAAACCTGTGAGATTCCAGCACAGATCTCCTGCAATACTGGGAGCATTTCAGAGGAAGAACAGCTGTTTTCATGGATAGGAACTGTGAGGATAGGAAGGTGCAAAATAAAGAACTGAGTGACTAGGAGGAGGGTTTCTTCTCTGTATGATAATGTAATTCTTATCTGTATGATGATGTAAAAATTGCTTCCATGTTTAATCTGAAGGAACTGCCTGGTCTTAGCCTGCAACTGCTTGCAGAGACTGCCTTGGGACAGAGTTGTGTTTTCCAGATCTGCAGACGGATGCCTTGCTGATTCTTTCCCCAGGACACCCTCTGGACACAGTTTACTGCTGTGAACTTCAGTCACATCCTAGCTAGAAGCTCCATTCTGTGACTGCAAAGACTAGAACAAAGCCACCCTGTGTTTTGGGTTGTTTCTGGATTTGGGACATAAGGAGGCTTGAGGGAATAAGGCCAGAGATAACCCATGGTTTGGAACCATCCCCTACCTGGTATACATGAGCAATAAGCTGCTCTCTGCTTCCGCACTCCAGCTGGCAGAGGGGGCACTGTGACAGTCCCAGCATAGGGTCAGCATTCAAACTCTCAGGCACCTACAGGGAGGAAAAGCCGCTTTGCGTAAGGCATGCAGATGCCCACATGCAGCCACCCCACTCTCCCTTAGCATCTGGTCAACACTGCATGCAGGCCTTGACCAGATCCAGTGCTGTGTGCCCCGTCCCACTGGGGCTGGTTTGTGTCCTTGCAGTCCAAAACTTCCTTTATGTAGCCTCTGAGCAGAACTCCTGCTGTCTCGAGGAGAGCAGGCAGAGGCCTCATGGCCTCCACTCACAGCCAGGCTCTTGCCAGCGCAGTGGCTCTGGTAGGCAAGGTCTGCTCTGCAGCAGCAGGGAAGGGGGAGTCAGTTGGAGAAAGGCACCAGAACTGAAGGAAGGGGGCACACCCTGCACAGTCATCTTGGCCAGCCAGGAGAATGGCAGTTCATGCCTGCTACCTCCTGTTCCTGGTAGCCCAAGAGCTCTTCATACCCTTTCCTCCTTCCAGGAGATGTTGTTTGGAGGAAGTGGGAGGGAGAAAAAGCTAAAAAGCTATCGTGTGCAGAGGAGGTGTTTAGTCAGTACCCTTCTCTCTCCTTGGGAGGCTGAGTGCGGAGCCATACACACTTGCCTCACTTTCTCTCATCAGTGGGGTTCCAGCCACAGGCTGTTCTGCATTCTCTAATTCTTTCTTCACTTTCACCGTTGAGCCATCCTCCTCAGATGTATGGGATGAAACTTCATCCTGGGTGGTTTCTTCATCATCACTGCCACCTAGAACATGAAGAACAGTTATTCCAAGTGTCAGGACCCTGAGGGCACGCATAGACCTCACTTGTCCTGCCCAGCATCACCTGGAGCCTCTACCCACACCCTCTGACTAGGGGCTCCATTTAAACTCATGCTGGGGCACTTCAGTCCCTGAAGTGCTCTGTACAGTCCCTGGACCTGGCCTGTTACCCTGCCTTGCTTGACAATGACTGGACCATCAGCTGGAGCCACTGCTGTTATCACCTCACTCTGGTAAGGTGGGACTGCATCCCGGTGGTGAGGTCCTTGCCCAATCTGTGTTGTGGTGGTCCTTGGCTCTGGGCTTGCCTTCCCTTAGGGAGCAGCCCTGCTCTTGCTGTTTGCTGACACTAAGTCCCGCACAGGAACCAAGGGCTAACCCAGAGGAGGAGAGGTGTAAGATGCTCCTCAGAGGACACCCGCAAGCTGCACAGCACCTAGCCTCACCCCTGTCAGTCTCCCCAGTCCACTACCTTGCCATTATTGGAAGGGGCAGAACTCACTGCTGCTGGAGTCGGGGTCTTGCAGCGGATGAATGGCTGGCCTTTGGTCCCCAAGAGCTCCAGGGAAGTTGTTTTTCATCATGGCTTGGCGGGCTTGCTCCTCCAGCCCTGCAAAGACTTGCTCCCCTAGCAGCCACAAGGACAAAGAGTCAGACTGGTGCTGTTCCATTGCTTTCACAGAATCATAGAATCACAGAATGGTTTGGGTTGAAAGAGACCTTAAAAATCATCTAGTCCATCCCCCCGCCATGGGCAGTGACACCTTTCACTAGATCAGGCTGCTCAGAGCCCCATCCAACCTAGCCATGAACACTTTCAGGGATGGGGCACCCACAGCTTCTCTGGGCAACCCATTCCAGTGCCTCACCACCCTCAGAGTGAAGAATTTCTGCCTTCTGTCTAACCTAAATCTCCCCTCTTTCAGTTTAAGGCCATTCCCCCTTGTCCTGTCACTACATGCCCTTGTAAAAAGGCCCTCTCCAGCTTTCTTGCAGGCCCCCTTCAGGTACTGGAAGGCTGCAGGTGGGGTCTCACGAGAGCAGAGGGGCAGAATCCCCTCCCTCGACCTGCTGGTCATGCTGGTTTCACCACCAAGGCTTGCCAAAATCACACAGGTGTGGGGCTGCTCACCTGCACTGTGCAGAGCCTCTGAAGTCACCTCTCAGAAAGCACTTAAGTAACATCTCTGCTTCTTTACCCTGCAACACCAGCCTCTGCTGATGGGAGTCCAGTCCCTGGGTCTAGAACAGTCTCACTAGTGGGAATGTCCAGCACCAGGCTGCTCTCTGCATACCCTTTATGTGACACTCCAACCACCAAAAAAACCAAGTGAGATCCCATACATCTGCCAACAGGCTCTAGGTGGAGACTCATTAAGTCCTGTTCTCTGCTATACCAGGCAACTTGCACAAAAATAGTATTTATCTCCCCGAGTGCCTGGCACCTCATCTGCTCTCCGCAGAGACAAGAAAACCAGGGATTGTTCTTGGCATGCTCCGTCACAACCTTCTGTCCCAGGACTGAGGACGAGCTGCCCACCAAGATGGTGTTTGTGCTTCAAGCTGATGTTCTCCTGCTTATATGATGGATAACTTGCTTCACTACCTTGCCTTGCCCATGGAGCGGTTCTGGCTACGATAAATTTCAGTGATGCTTCCTATGCTCAAACCAGAAAACTAAGGGAATGAACCCAGAAAGTGGAGATGCTTGTTTCGGATAGCTTACAGCCTGTTTTGTTGAAAGACACTGATTACTAGCACCTCAAGTCAACAGGAGATGGCAAACACACTGAAAGAAGGCAATTATATATTTGTGCTTCTCTGGAAAAGAACTTCTAATGGCAATCCCTGCTAAGGAGAACTTTTGGTTCCAAAGCACAACAAGAAAAGGCAACCATTAATTTTCATATTAAATCAAAAAAATTACTGTTCCAGTTGTAGTCGTGATTTGCCTCTCTCAGTGGATGAGCTGGGAGCGCTTGGAACAAGGTGCTGAAGTTTCCAGCAGGCTGGCTCTTGGGTTAAATTTACCAAATGATTTGTAAACTCTCAAGAACCACTCAAAGCACACACGCAAAAATGCTGAGGAAGACGCAATGCATTTTTCACATAGAAGCTTTCAGAACAAGATTGTACCTTTCAGTATAGGGCCACGACTGGCATCACGATAACCAGGGAACTGAATTCCTGATGCACTGAGGGAGCACCAGTCCTGTCACAAAGGAGAGGTGCAGTCCCACGTGCCACACCGTTTCAGCCAGCTTTACCCCATGTTCATGCTCACACTGCCTTTCTGGTGCTTACCTCTCAATTTCCAGCAGTGCTTTAAAAAGCAGTAATTTCTGGAAGATTTCAAAGACCTTCAGAAGTTTCATGGAGAGTGTGGGAGAAGAGTTTTAGTTCCCAACATCCCCATGGAGGTTTCCAAAAGCATTTGAAGGCATTTACCGTTCTGTTTCAGAAATGTGAGAAAGGTTTCTGTAGAGAAGACTTGAGAACACAATCCACGCAGGCTGGCAGCGGTGCCGAGGAGCACTCTATCTGCCACTGAAAGCAGCAGGTACTGTCATGGTTGCAGTGACACATCAGAAGCCATTCCAGCACCGAATAGTTTCCATAACCTGGAGTGCTGCTTTTATGTCTGGACCACAACCTCACATTGGTGGGACTGAGATACAGACCGTATGAACAGCAGACGCTACAGAATTACAGCACCTCTCCAAGAAGCAGATATCTATGCAGGATAAAAGCCCAGAGACCAAAGAAGCATTGCAAGACAAAGAGAAAGTATGGTGAAATGAGGAAACCTGCAGAACACAGGACAGATGTAAAGCTATGGTGGGAGATGTGCTGCCTGCGATAGAGCTACAAAACAGGACTCCCAAACACCACGGCACTGCTAGTGGACGCAGTTACATGTTTGTTTTCTTCCCCCTTTCCCCTTCCAGACGGCTTACGTTTCCACTGAGCAGCAGCCTGGAGTCTAATGGCAGGTAGGTTCCTGCTCAGATACACACACTATGCGACAGCCTGCAGGATTTTAAAAGCTGTGATCTTTGTATGAGGCGACTGAGGAGGGAACTCCTCCCATCAGCAACGCTAGCATCAATCACAACAACTAAAGAGAGTGATCACGTCTGCCAGTGGCCTTTCTGTACAGCATACCCAGAGCCAAGGCAGCACAGATTCAGTGCACTGCAGAGAACTATCAGCTTACAGCCAGAAATGCAAACTGTTAAACAGACCGGTGCTGTTAGCAGACAACATCTTGTGCATTCTCTGCTAGCCTGTACCTAAAAGGCACCATGGCATTGGGAAAGACACTTTTCAAAATGCTATCTTTAGCTTACACAGAATTTTTTATGTATTAAACTACTATTGTCTCCAGAAGAACTCAGGGAAGACTGTCCTGTTCATCTACCGATGGGCTAAGTCCTACTTTGATGAAGCTTTAGAGCTTTAATGTTTGGTAGGTACAGGGTTATACATTTGCTGTTTCTGCACACACGTGCTCACATACAGGCACTTACACCCCGCCTCCACCCCACTTTGAATACACTCACATTCGTTTAGAAAGGGAGCAAGACAGGCAACAGCTTTAGGGTCACTGCTATCAGTGAAGGATGTTATGCCCAGTATTGAATTCACAGACTCTTCTCCAGAAGTTTCTTTATTAAATACAAAAAGGGCTGCAGGCTGACCACAAAAACCAAAACAAGTCATCGTGTTTTACAAACAGCTAGAGACGTAGGACAGCGAAAGGTCACACAAATGCCTCTGCTTTGCACTCCAGTTCTCCTCTCCATAATCGTGTCAATGAGTGGGATGTCAGGTGAGCAGTTGTGGAGGTAGGGGGCAGCCCTGGGTACTGTGCAGCAGGGGGAGTTACAGCTGCTAGGTTCTGGTGGAGTATCAGCCTGGTGCCCAGAAAGGATTTTTTGTCCTGAGCCCTTCCCTCCTTGAACTGTATGAATGCAGGAAAACTCTCGGGTGTTCTGGAAAATAAACACACAAACAAACAACTCCCACCCCCAAATCCACAAAACAAGAATCAAAACAAACTGCGCCATTCCCCTGTCTTCCTTCCTAAACAGAAAGGTCTCTCAGAGACGAGCCACTTTATTCCCTCCTCGTACATCAATTTAGAGTCCCTGGTCAGGTAGGTCTTCTGTGTGTTCCTTTCCTGGACCTGAAATTTGCAAGTCTTTCCACCACTGTGGATCTAGTCCACCTGCCCCATCGCTATTCTGGGTTGTCCACACTGCTGTAGTGGTTACTGAAATGAAAAACAACACAATGGAAAGAGTTAACAATGGCAGCCCACAGAGCCCTTCAAGAACCAAGGATTTCGATGCAAGTAACATTTCTGCTCGGTTTTGAATGCTGGGCACTATTTCTCGCAAAATACTTTGTCTTCAAACTGGGAATATTATGGACAGCAGAATTCAGGGAACACTGAAGAGCACAGAATGTGCGTGTGTCAGAGGGAGAGGGAAGGAAATGGAGGATTAATGGGATGTTGGGACCATGATAAATAGAGTTAGGAAGCAGGAATTAATTTGAGTAACAAAAGCTGTTCTCGAAAGTTCTAAAATAAGCATCACTTGCAAGGGGCACAAGCAATAGAAAGAAAAACAGCTGATGGGACAGCAGGGAGAGAAAGTAAGAGTGCACGCTAACACCTGCAGCGGATTTTTGGCAAGCACCAGAACAGTGAGTAGCCCGTAAATGATGGAGTGAAAGCGCAGCAATGGATGGGCTCAAACGCAAGATGAGATGAATTGCTTAGAGAGATTTTATACTTCAGAGTCTGGGGGAAAATAAAGACCAGATTGAACCAATTAAGATACCTCCACAGGAACAATGTAACCGCATTGTACTTTCCAATTCAGTGTGGAATGGGCAGTGCAATAAATATATTCCAATATTACAGTCTTGTTTGTTACCACTTTGTCAGGGGTGCTTTTCATGCACCACACAGTGAAACCAAATTATTAAGAGCCAGTTATGTGCTGCAGCCCTGTCAAAGGGGAAATGACTACAGTTAAAACTGTAGGACTGGCCATCATGCACGATGAGACTTTTGTGAGAACAGTCATAGTCATTTTTATCATTGTTTCTGTATTATTTTGAATATCCTTACACATCAACTTCCATTTAAAACTGTTTTGACTTGTAGCCACATAACTTCCCAGCCGGTCGTTCTGCATGCCAAAGGAAGCGAATCTGTGCTAAGTGAGGACAGCCAGCCTTCTTGTTGTGAGAGCAAGGTTAGACGAGGGCCATGCCAAGCCTAGAAAATAACCCTGGAAGGAGGTGGCATCAAGCAAGCCAGGGAGAGGAGATCTGCAGCTGTCACTTGCCCTAGTGAATCCAAGAAGGAAGATAACATGGAGCAGCCATGCAAGGAAGAAGTAGGCACTGTCCTCCCACAAATTTGTCCAGTTAGATATTCACAGTGGTATTTATGCAAATCCAGAAAGCACTTCCCCAGCCCCGCAGCCTGCCAAATCAGACCCCAGATGCAGACAACTATGTAAAAAGCTGCATACCTGCTGTCCCTTTTATTCCTCTCCTCCCAACCACTTCAGTCCCTGTGAAGAAGTCTCAGTAACGTGTCTGCTATGTCTCAGCCTGACTCCTCATTCTGCTGGCTCACCCAGTTCTTGGAGCTGATGCTCTCTCCGATTATCCTCGTCAGTGCACTGCATGGCATTTCTGGGCCCTCCAGACACACAGCAGGCTAGGTAGACAGAGAAGTCCCAACGATTTGGTGGTGTTCATCATGAGAGACAAGATTTTCCATCCCAAAGCGGAGACATCACCATTGACATGTTTCTTGTATCTTTCAGTCCCTTTATTTTCTTGTGGTCCTACTTGCTGCTCCTGATGGCTCCTGTTGAATAGTTGCTCTGTAGCAATGTACTGCATGTAAAGGAGGTGAACAGGTCCCAGAATTCCTCTCTATGGCATACCAAATGCCATGAACTCAACCTCATGCCCGCTGGTAGCGTGTTTGCCAGATAGCTTCCCCCAAGACCAAAACTGGAGACACAATCACTTGTCTTGCAGATAAAAAAGCAATGTTCATTGTGAAAATAGTGCACAACTGAACTCCATAATATGTATAGTTTTGTACATAATAGCGCAGGCTTCTGAAGAACATAACCCTCACGCAGCAGAGTGCAGAAAACAGCCCACCTAAACACCATGGAAACTACCTGCATCATTAGAGCTGTTGTGCCCCTTGGTTTCCATGCATGAGAGACCATGACCCTACAGCAGGGGAGATGGCGTAAGTGTATGCCTTACATAGGTCTGATCTAAACAGCAGCAGTAATACCTGGGCACTCTCAGAAGCAAAAGTGTGTGGAGACAAAATGTGTTACTGGCATCATAGGACAAAACAGAGGACATATCAAATTTCTCTAAGGAAGACAATCCCAAAGTCATTAACGTGTGTACGATCAGGCAAATCAAACCTATACTCTGCCCACTGTTGAGCCCAGTGCCCAGAAGCAGGAATTGGAGAGCACGAGTCAGTGCAGATGCCAAAAGCCATGACTCAAGACTCTTCCACTGGCCACCGAGGAAAAGTTTGTCAGCACTTCCATGCCTAGCTCTAGCAGCCAATGGGGCTTTCAAGTCCCAGACAGAGGTAGTTCTCCCCGGTACACTCACTGGGTGCAAAGTGTTAGGCTATATCGCAATGTATTTTCCTCTAGTAGAGAGAACAGCATGCATAGATTCCTGTTGCTGTACCCATACAAAAAGTCAGCACAGAGAAACACACAGCGACATGCAAGCCAGCAGCATCAGCAAAGTGAGGCAGTGTTAAGGGCTGCAGCATTCAGCTCTCTGTCCTGTATTCCGGACAGCTACTACAGCTTAGCAGTACCTAGGGCCCTCTCATCAGCCTTGTTTTCACATGTCTACAGAAGTGGAAATCTGCTTTCCTCATTCCAGCCCGAATTCCAAACGTGTCTCCAGCCACAAAGCTGGGTACATACAAGAGCATAGCCTCAGACCCCCCAGCTTCCCTGTGCTGCAATCAGTCAAACAAAAGCCATATATGTGCAGTTTCCCCTTTGCAGCCAAACAGCCATACATGTCTCCCAGCTCCACTAACATCTCGCTGTCGCCTCCCCACAAGAAGTGCTGATGTACAGCATCTTCAGCCCTTTCATTATCAAACAAAAGCCAGGGTCTTGACAGTCCTGGAGAAGCAGAGATCTGTCCTATCAGCTCAGCTCAAGAATGATCTGGCAGACAGCATTTGTCTGTCCTGTAAATTGCTTAGCCACTGCCCGTTCCCTGCAAGAGAAGAGCAAATGGCTTTACTTACATTATGTGGTAGGAAACTGAGGTACAGTGAGCTTAAGTAACATGTCCAAGGCCAGTCAGGTGGGTTTGTGGTAGGGCAAAGATCAGAACCCAGGACTTCCCACCTTTCAACCACACACTCCAATCACCTTGCCTAGAACCTCCTTTGCTACCCAAGACGGGCCAGAGCCCCAAGTCATGTTTCTTAGTATACTAACTAGAACTTGTGACAGTGTGAATGCAAAGCACAGCTACAGGCCCTGCATATACACACCTACCTTTACAGCATTAGTTGTTTGTTCAAGCCTATCCCTGTCCTGCCATGCCAGGACACAGCCAGCTCCCCTGATGCACAGGCTTACAGACCCTAAGATGAAATGTGAGTAACCACCATTCCCCCACGAACTGTACCTTTTCACCATTCCCCTCCTCCCCACAACAATCCAGCTAGGGCAAGGATCCCACAGTGCTGTGTAATGTAATACTCACAGTGAACTTTGTTCGGAGTGGTCTGTTTCCGGCGGGACATGTTTCCCTGACCTGGGAGCAGAGTGTCCGTTCCCTCAGCAGCAGGCTCACCTGAGAAGAGAAGAGCCTGTCACACACAGCACGGGAAACTGGCCAAACACAGCTGACTGTCTCAGGGTCGCTCCCCACCCTTCTGCCTACAGGGCTCGTTCTGCATCACCACAGCCACGTTCAGTGCCAGCATCCCACACGATCCACCAGCATTTCACAAACCACCGCACATGGGCAGTCACACCCAGTTCTAAAGTGAAGTTATAAGCAATCCTGTCCCCAGTATACAAAAAGCTAAGATTGCCCCACTTCAAGAGTGACCGCAATCTCAGTCCAAGCATCCTTCTCCCTCCTGCCCGTTCCCATGGCCGAGAGGGCAAGGGCCTAACCAAGGCTGCAGACTCTGCCCTATCTCTGGCCGCCCACCCAGAGACTGAGGGGACGCAGGGCCCCACCACGCCCAGAGGGCTGGCGTCGGGCACCGGATAACCCAGGCCAGGCAGACAAGGGAACCAGCTGCCCTGCGGTCACAGCTCCAGACACAGCGGCAGCAGCCGCCAGGACGGGGGGGTCAGATCTCGGCCCAGGCAGGCACCCCTCAAAGGGACTGAGCTCACCGCCCCTG